ATTAGAAATATTTGATGATACACTAGAATTTGAAAGTGTGATTGAATCTTCATCATTCCAATTAAAATGATGATTGTTGTGATAAACAGCAAGTAAGTCAGAAGGTTGGAAATCATAAAAATTACTGGCATAATGTGCTGCTACAGACAGTTGCTTATGATGAACACTTTGTTGAGTTTCACATGAAGTGACATCAGATTTTTCATGATCACTAACAGTCGATAAATCACATAATGAATATGGTAATGAAGTAGATGAGCGATGAGTGTTTGAAACATATGAATTAGATGTTGATTGGCTATCATTGGAGATATCTTGTGATTGAGATATATTAGAATTTGCATTGCTATTGTATCGTCGTTTTTCTGAGCTCTCGTTATTAGTTGAACTCTGATTATCACTAACTGATGTTATGGTTCGTGATCGTCGTGTATCTTTAGCAACACGCGTAGGTTGTATTGTATATTTTTGTGAATAATAGTATGCTCGAGACAAATGGTTTTTAGGAGGAGATTTATCAGAATTGATAACTGCATCCGATGAAAATGGTGGAATATTATGTAACCATGGATGCATTGTAACGGTTGCATTGATATGAGGATATTTTTGTTGTTGTTGAACTCTTGAATTGTGTACATTTTTCAGTACTGTTGGATGACGAAGTAATGGCGTAATTCGTCCATTAGTTGGCCGAGTATTTGGATTAGTGCAATCAGCAGGTACACGATGACAAGCAGCACAATAATGTGTCCAATAATGACCATTAACTGGAATGTTAAGCAAAGGTGGTATTGGTGGACACGCACGACATATGTTGGAATAGTTGCTTTTCCAGTATGGAGGTATCGATGAAATTAGATTAGAGGAGCATGGTAAAGTTGAAGAGTCTGTTGGAAACAGTGGTACGCCGTTTGATTGTAAAATGGAATGAACATATGGTTGCAAATTAAATTGAAATGGGTGCAAATTTGATATAGACATCATTGATTGTTTTTGCATGTCTTGTAATTGTGGATAAATTGACATCATTGGTTGAGATATTTGCCAGTTTGGAGTAAATGGTATTACAGCAATTGGATTAGCATATTGATCCATGACCATTTGTTGAATGGCAGGTGTAACAGGCAAAGATCTGATTTCTGGTAAAGGTGGTGGTAATGGTAATGAACGAAAATATGGTGACATACGATTGAAAAGAAAAGGTGGCATAGACTAAAACATAAATATATATATATTTCAATCATAGTATTTCGTTATAGTAAAGTATGTTAGATAACTTTCTTACTAAAGGACCTGAATACGATTGTTGAAAAGATGGTAGTGCTGTTGGCATGAAAACTAATCTAGTCTTTGGTTTCAAATTCATATTACCATCAATATTTGCAAAATATGGATTTGATCCAGCACCATAAGCTAAACCTGAGAAGTGACCATAGCCTTGGTTTCTACTAGTACCAAGACCTACGGCATCTCCGCCAAAATGTGTTGTATATGGCATAAATTGCGTTTCTTTATCATAAGGATATCGTCTATTATTAACATAATCAAAAGGGAGAGATCTTGTATACATAGGTAATGGTACATTGTTAGCTTGTTGTTGCCAATAGGAGTTTTGGATGGTGCTCGTATAAGGCATATACTGTTTATATCGATATTGATCATTTGATTGCTTTATATTTCGCATTAATTCTGTATTCATGCTGGATTGTTCAAATTGATGATAACCAAACGTTGTAAAATCACCAAATGGATAGAAAGATTGATACAAAGACTGTTGTCTAAGAAATTCTCTATCATAATAAAGTTTTGTCTTTGGCTTAGGATATCCAAAGTAAGTTTGAAAATAATAGTCATTATAATTGTGTGGAATTAATGATGACATTTTTCGATTATTTATATTCTATTTTCACTTTCAGTTTCTTTAGTGTATACTGTTGAACAAAAAAAAATTAAAAAAAAATTAAAATGAAACTTTACCAGCAATATTCGTTTATGTTGATAAATTAACTCAGCATGAGTTAAATCATGAAGTGTCTATGTCCAATTTTATTATCAACTTTATATTGGTATTTATGCATGCGTTACAAATTACATGCAGATAAGTCGCTTAAGCAAATAATTGGTTTTTTTTCTAGCTCTATTCGATTAATATATCTCCATTTAATCGAATGACGAAAAGACGAGAAATAAACCTTGTAAGTCCTGCATACTAGAAAACATTAATCACAATAAAACGAAA